AGGCAGTCTTGGAGGGACGCCTCCAGGTGCTGAGGGTTGGGGAGGGGGTAGCTTGGATTAACCCCTGCTGTGCATCCCCTTCACCCTGGCTGCCCTCCCCGGCCCCCCCGGCCCACCGCCCCCCTGGCGTCCGCGGCAGCCTCCTTTGTGCCTCCCGCATCCTGCCAGGCAGGTGTCAGAGCCCTGAATGCGGGCAAAGGCCCTGCTGATGGATACCACAGATGGAGCGTGGAAATCGGCCGAATAGGCCTCAGCCACAGGCCATTTCTTAGGACCCAACAAAAGCCTCCAAATAAGTCAACAAAAATCCCAAAGATCACAAAGAGAAAGTGTCATTTGTCATTTACTGTGGGTTTGTGTGGGGGTAGCGGCCCTGCTGCACTCCTCCTCGCCTGCACCCGAGTAAACACGAGGGAGGTCACTCGCATCTCTTTGGGCGTGAAAGGCTGCCGGGGATCAGACAGCCGTACCCGCTGCCTCCCGGTGCCGAACGCCTGCGTTAGCCCCAAAGCTGGGGATGCCGCAGCCTTAGGTCATAGAGATGGGGCACGAGGGGGAGAGCCTGTGAGATTAATCTTGCATAGGTAAAAAAAATGAGAAGATCCGGGGAGGGTAGCTCGCGAATACACCACCGCCAGAACCTTTCCTGGCTGTCGGTATACTGATTTTTCTGGTCTTGTTTTAGCGAGATTCGTGGCTAGACAGAATTTACCTAGGGCAGACCCTAGGCTGTTACGCTTAGAGGAAGAGGCTGTGTAATATTTTATTGAAAAATTTCACAGTGACTGAAGGATTGCCAGAGAAGCTGTGCCTTTGCGGGTCGCAGAAAGATAACCTCTCTGCCTGTGTTTGTCAGGTGTGCTGTGCTGCAGCTGTAATGTATGGGTTTTAAATGGTTGTCATGTTTTTGTTATTTAATTATTCAAGTGAAATGTCGTGCTGAGAGGAAGAACAACCCACAGAATGACCTCTTGTGCGTTATTCGGTTGTTCGATCTTTGCCCTGACGTGTCTATTTATGGTGTTTGGAAAAGGGATCGATGCAGAGCTCCAGGTGACCAAATGCCTATGACATGGGGCAGAGGTTTTTTGCATATTGTGGTGATAACCAGCGTGCAGCATTTCTTCGGCCCACCAGACGGGTCACGAGGGGTTAAGGGACAAATAATCGCTCTTTAATTCTGTAATTCCTTCTTTAATTAAACTTCATGGCTCAGCTACTGGTAGTGCTTTTGGCTGCCTGTCGCATTTTGAGCTGTGCAGTAAGGGAGGTACTGGTGATCCTGAGGGGTCTGGCTGGGGATCTCCCAGGGCAGTGGTGAGTCTCCTCCTTTCTTCTATTTATAGCTTGGGGGTTGGAGTATTAGGATCATTAGCACAACTGTAAAGGTTAGCGATATGTGAGTTGTGTGTCTGTGGAGGTGATGGAGATAGAAATATCCCAGCTAAAACCTGACCACCTTTGCCTGTGCTGTATAGTAGCTTTTTAAGTTATGGAAGTTGGTGGATCTATTAGTGAGATACTGCTTAGCAAAAGGGCAATATGCTATGGCTATTAAGCGTATATATAAAATAAATACTGCTTTTTTAAAGGCTGAAGAGTGTCCAATTTATGTGCTTAGCCAATACTCCGATTGGCTTCTCACCTATATAAAAGTCTAATAATAGTATTTTAATAGAAAAAATAAGACTAAAAACTTCCTTGAAACTAATAGTATTTAGCAAGACATTGTGAGAAATAAAAATAGTGCAGTTTGTAGTACGGACACGTAGCTATCATTTGAGATTACATTTGTCTGATTTTAACATTGCAGACCAGGCAAGACAAAGGAACAAAATGTTTTCAATAAAGCTGCATGTAGCAGCCAGGCCTGGCGAAGGGCAACACCAATGAAATCAGATAGATATGAAAGCCATTTTATTTGCTATACATGTTCTCTCTACTTTAATTTTATTATGTTCTTTCTAAATGTTTGCACTTGATTAGATGTATTGTCCTGGACTCTCAGATACTTCTGTTTTTTCTGACTGATTTACCTTTGTGCCTTTCATATACTGCTTAATGAAATGTACACCTAAACTGAAAGTGAAATTAAGTCAGCGTTTCAGTTCTGCATTCTCATTGCTGCATGAATGCAAGGTGCGGGAAAACATCACAAGATTTTGCAAAGTCTTTATAAAACATTTGTAGGAAGATCATTATTGCTCTCCTGATACTTCCCACCCAGTTGGTGAGGGAATTCACTTTAGAAATTTAGCGATAAATACCCACTTTAAATTGCACAGTTTAAGCTGGCTTTTTATAGGCATATGTTAGATGTCTGAAGCAGTTCCATCCATACATGAAAGAGTTCCTGAGATCTGGGGATTTGACTTTTTAAAAAAAAAACAAAAACAAAACCCCCAACTTATCGTACACAAACAAAGACAACTTTTGTTAGAGAAATTGTCTCCAAAAGGGACCTTCCTGAGCTTTTTCAGATCTTACTACACCAGGTATGGTCAGAGTGCAGTGCTAGCCAACATGACCCTGTTAGCATGGCTAGTGTGCTCTCTAGTCCAGCTTGTCAGCGATAGCTGTTCTGCTTAAGGTGGGTGATTTGTATCTGAGGCTAACATAGGGAAACTATATTATAAATAACCTATGTTTCTTTTTATTTTGAACAGCAGCATGAAGCCATCCTGGAGGGTTGTAACTTGGCAGTTGCTGAGGAAGGCAGGTGTCAATTGGAACCCCAAGTGAGAAGATTTGGGATTTGTCACTAATTCAGACAATGTGTTATGTTTGTTTTGGGATACCCTAGATTGCCTGTTTAAAAAGGAATGAACTTGAACTGTTTGGGATAGGATGTTTGTGCTGATTCCCCTTTGTTCTTGAGGACAATATTCCCAAGAATGAGAACGGCTTAATCTAGTCTTACTTGGGGCAAAACTTCCATGCAAGTAAGAGACTCTTAGAGTTGGATGTTTTCACAGTACATTGATGCTGAGCTCTATGGGAGTTTCTTCTGATGTCCTGTATATGTTGGGTCCAAGATATTGATGGTGTCTGGACAACAAAGATAGCTTTCATATAAGAGCCTCTGGTCTAGCAGTAATTGTTCCTTTTTTGGTATGCAGAAATTCATAAACATTTCAGCTGAAAAGCACTTTGTCTTTCTAAGTCTAAGTCTTTCTAACACTAAGTAAACAGATTAGGTGTATATATTAGTTCAAACAGCTTGAGTGAAATTGGTAATGTAAGATAGTTAGAAATGAACATGGGGGGGATTTAGCTGGAGCTTGAGAAACAGTGATTTCTTTTTGGCTTTGTGTTCTCAGTTACTTCCAAATAAATCACGTTAAGAAGATTATTTTGAATCAATGTATATATCAATAATTCATTTGGCGTTATTGAAGTAGTAGAAGCAATGCTTGTATTTCAGCTGAACAAGCAGTTTCAGCATCACTGGGGAGTGTCTGCCCTCTTTAGGTAGTTTCCCTTGAAGACTCAGGCAAGAAGGAATGCTTGTCGCCTGGAACAGCAGCTGATGCAAGTGAAGTCTGTCTTTAGAAGTCTGCTCTTTTGGTTCATTACTCTTTGTTGGACAAAAAGAACGTGGTTGGGTACTGGAAGAGGCTTTGCTGCCTTCACAGCTATAGCTATGGGTTCAGCTGCAGCTGGGCTGTGGCTGGAGTTCACTTGATTGTCAGGGAGCACAGGGGAAACGAGCAATGATGCCAGGAGCTGGCTGTGGGTGTGTGATCTCGCTCTCTTCATGTCCATGAAACACACAAAGAGTTTTGGTTCTGATTTCTCTTTAAGCTGCTGATCGCAAGAGTTGGTAGCCCCTTCCTGGGTCATGGACACGCTGTTATGTGGTCTGTTTCTTGCCGACTTTCCTTAAATACTTGACTTGGGCTGTGGTGTGAGGGGCCTTTGGTCCAACACAGCCTGGTTGTTTTGCAGTCATGTCCTGGACTGTTGCCTGGAGGCTGAGCATCAGCACATCTGTGTGTAACTGTGCTCTGTGCTGGAAAACCTCCCAAGGTTAGGAGGAATAACAATGAAACTTTAGGCAATGGAAGTATGCGGTCTGTGTATTTCAGCTCTGGTCATCGCATAGGGGGAATCTCCTTGCTTTAGTAACTGGAAGACTCAAGTCAAACTATTGCTCTGAGCTATTCTTACAGGACTTCTCTGTGCAAAGTGTGTCTCAATTTTTTTTTTTTTTTGTTGTAATACTAACACTTGTCAGGCCTGTCCTAAGGTTATGTTAGGTGGTCCTAAGACAGGCAAGTAAGTTGCAAACAAGTGGGAATGTTTAAATGTGCTGAAGTATACTAACACAAAAGTGTAAAATACTGTTGAGTGTGTACGACAAATAATACACATGCCATAAAGTAAATATTTGATCGTGTATGAGAATTAATTTCAGTAGCGCTCTCCATGCCTTTGTAGTCACTTCCATAACCATTTCAGCAATAAGGTTTTAGTGATGGGTCTCTAGGGAAGGTCTCATCATAGACATGTGTCTATAGAGTTGGAATGTTTAAGTTACAGTGTGCACACTGGTGTGACAAATATTTGTATCTGTTCGCTAGCGCAGTGAAAGGAATAAGGCTGTATTGCTTGTCTGATTGCTTGGGACAAAGCAGTACTGCTCAAGTTTTTGAAACACAAACTGCTGGAGGAGTTAAAACAAAGAAATCAAATAATTAATTTACTCAAAAAGATTTCTACAGGTCCTCAGATGTTCTTGGGTCAGGAAAAGGTGCTAAACTCATAGTTGAACTTTTGACAATTCTTTATTTGTTTGAGCACATTTGCACAACGTAACATTTAACTCTGATTTGTTTCTTGCTTTTTTGCTTTTTTTGAAATTTGCCAACTTAGTTCTGAGTCACAGGGAAAAAGCAGCTTTTCCATAGAAGAGGATATCATCGATTGATCCAATATTTTGCTCTCCCCCCCCCCCCCAATGAAGCTAATTTTCATCTTTCATTTTCTTCTTTTTTGAGCATCAGCACCCCAGTCTGATGAAGGCTCTGACATCGATTCTGAACCAGATTTACCTTTAAAAAGAAAGCAGCGTCGCAGCAGGACAACCTTCACAGCAGAGCAACTGGAAGAGCTGGAAAGAGCTTTTGAGAGGACACACTACCCTGATATTTATACTAGGGAAGAACTTGCACAAAGAGCCAAACTCACAGAGGCTCGTGTCCAGGTATGTATTTAAAAGCTGCCTAACAAAGGGAATTTCCTTTTCTGTTAGCGTGTTGGTCCATTTGTATTCTTACGTGATCCTACTCTGGAGTGGAAGGAAAATGTGAAGCTATGTTTCTTACAGCCTTGGGGGTTTTGCATCTGTACATGGACACTGGTTTTCCAACTGTTTAAGACAACTGCTTGGGAAAAACCTTTGTGTTTTCCCCAGTAATTGTTCCATACCCACCATGAACATAATACTGAGCCTTTGGAGAAAAAGGTCTATTGTCCCAGTTTGTTTGGTTTATGCATTTGACAGCACTCTGCATATAATCAGGTCAGGTGTTGTGCCAGTTTATAGTTATTTAACTGATTTCATCTGTTGTTGTTTGGGTCTTTCAGGCATTAACAGAGGAGAGAAAAACATTTTTAAAAGGACAATGTGTCTAGAGAGCCATGCAAGTGAGCAAGGTTACTGGTGCAGTGTCTACAGTTTGCTTTTAGGTTAGCTTTTGAAGTTGACTTATTTTAAATCTTGTAATATCTCTTTTATCCCCACTGTCAGTTTAATTCAAAAGAAAATAAACCATCAAGTAATTGTTAGGTCTTCACAACTTCATGTAGATCTGGATTGTCTAAAACAAGTCAATGTGCTGGAGCAGTAAACCGTGGAGTTGACTAAAATTTAAAAAAAGCGTGAACCTGGATTTTCAGGTGTCCAAAAATGGGCAAACAGCAGCCAAATAATTCTGGAATAAACTGCGCACTGGAGTTCAGGTTCAGACTGGGACTTACTCTCTTTCTCAGCAAAGAATCATGTCTTGTGAAATGTTTAATACTGCAGGCAGAATCCTCTGCTACTCTTTTACTACTTGACATCTAAGAGACATTTGGAAAAGCACACCCAGTTTAAATCAGTCTGAGTTGCAAGTGTTCATGGGTGACAAGCAAAACGTTGTAGCTTGTGATCTAACCCAGGAAGAGAAATGAGTGGTAACTTGTGATCTAACCAAGAATACAAGTGAATTTGGTTGCTTTGGTGAAACCCTGTTTTTATGTTTTGACCTTTGAAGCTCAGCCTGAGGCATTCAGGCTCTGCAAACTGGAATGAGTAATACAAAATATCCCTCTGACTTTTTAAGACAAGTATGCCTATTGCAGCATGGCTGTATTATTGAGTGTCTGTCTTGAAATGTCCAGACTTTTTCAGTTTTACCTGCTAAATGTTTTTGCAGAAGACTTCACACCACATTTCTTGTAAGTGTTTGTTATGACTGAGAGAAAATCTGATGTATGGATGAACTTGTCTGGAAGGCAAACTTAGTGGTGCATGGTTCTTTTCTTAACATGTTTACTAAGTGAAATGCTTGCAGAATAGCTTCATATATAGACTTGAGCCAGGTAAGACCAAATCAAGCCCTGGGAATCCTCCATGCACAAACATAATGAAGATAACTTCCTACACAAGTTCTGTTAGCAAGACGAATGGGATCTAGGATATAATGTTTTAGGCTATGTTAGCTTCAGTGGAAAAATACGATAAAATGAAAAAGACCTTGTTCATGTTTTTCTAAATCAATGACCCACAGCTAGAGGAAAAGCAGAACTCTCATTAACATAACAGCTGTCTTAATGTGGCTTTAACCCTGTGACTTTTTACATTCCTTATGGCTTCCTTGGTTCCCTTGAGACGCATCCTGTCTCACACCACTCCTATGATCTACAGCCTCACGAATTCCCCAGTACCTCTGACATGGATATTTTACCTAACCCAGCATGGAAGAAAGTTCCTAGTCAATCAATGATTCAAATACCAGAACAAAACCTTTCTGGATTAAAGATGAGCTGGGGTTGAAGTAACCAGCCTGTGGGCAGTTTCCTAGTGCACTCCATCTGTCTGGTACCCTTGAAGGCTGGCAGAGTGATTTAGCAGTGGATTAAGGGATACAGGATTTGCCTTATCAGCATTCAGCACTTCTCCGTAGCCCCTTAAAATGGCCACCTATGATGGGCATGAAATAAAAGACAACCTGTAAAAAGAAAATAACCCTAAGAGACTTGAGGCTGAGAGGGCTGGATAGCCGTACTGATGTAGCATTCAAGCTTTCTTAGTCACACTTCTTTTTTGGTAACAGTACGACAGAGATCAGAGATACCAAATTTTATATGGATATATACACAAAGATCTCTTTGACTGCTTTCTAATCAAACATCATCTAAAAGAGCTGGCTCTTTGCAGCCTGAGTCCATCTGAGCCCAGAAGACTCCCCCCCCGGAGCAGTAAGGTCCAATTCTGTAGAGTTGTTTTACATTGTCTAGGAAGAAATCTAATTGATTGCAACTGGACCAACCTTGCTATTCCCTCAGTCCCTCCACTAGCGCTTGCATCTCATGTTTTGTTTTTTCTACCCTGCCACCCCCATGCTTCCCCTTTCCTTCTATTCCCTGAGGGCGCCTCTGAAGACCCGTGAAAGGAAGAGTCTTAAACCACCAAAGCATCTATTTTCTCACTTTCCCACCATTGAAGGGTAACCAAATGCATGTTTCTAAGCTGGTTGATTGGAGGTGGGGGGAAAAAAGTCACCTCTAGGCTGAGATCAAACTTAGAACATTTCAGCCCTGAAGGGGAATTTTTTTGAAAGCTACAGGCAACTGAAACCAGACTTTACACTGTGAATATTATTTGTGTACTTAATCGTGGGGACAGGAAAGGCTTTTGGGAAAAGAATTGTTGCAACAAACTCCACATTGCAAGAGTCAGGAGATGTGTAACTATAATCATTGCAAATACTTCAGCACTGGGTGTAATGAGGAGTTAAAACGCTCCCTGCAATTCTTCCTGCAGCACCTTTCCACTCAAGGACTGCTGAGTCTTTCTGTCCCTATGTTTGAGCCTAGATGTGGTGTGGAGCCAGGGCAACCTCTCCTGCTGCCTCTCCCAACGGCACCTGGCTCTTCTCTGCACTTTAGATGAGCAGAAGGGGAAAGTTCTTTGGTCTTGTTCATTCATCAGATACAATTCAGAAACATTAAGTAGAGTCCCAAAGGATGACCCTTCATTTAAAAAAAAAATAGTAGTAATGCCCTGGGAATATGCGGTTAAAGATTCACATATTGTGAGTAAAAATCACAACCATGCAGTGCTTTACTGGTCCAGTTTAAAACCTCATTAAAACCATCATTAAGTTGCAGTGCAGGCCCTTAAGGTCTGTGGCCTATTGTTACTGACTCAATCTGAAGGCGAATTCTAAAAATGAAATTTTCCCCAGTGTAGATAAAGATCAAAGGCTCTTTCTGAGCTTCAGAGCAGTGCGGTTATGGTTTCTGTAACAAATAGCACATAAGGAATGAAGTGGTTAGCATCTTTTCTGGCCACCTTTTGATGCCCACATCAGGCTTATTTTTAGACCTGGATGAACTGGGCGAACTTTGGCAGCAGCTTGGAGACTGTTTCAGATTGATGGTGGGAGGTGTTTGCTTCAATCTTTTGGTGAAAGATTTTTAAATAAGGTTCAGGTTTGTCCTGTGGCAGGCAGAGGGCCAGGAGCCTGCCTTGGCCGATGGGGGCTGGCCAGTCAGACAAATCTTTTTGGGCTGTGTGTTGAAGGCAGGCCTTCCAAATTATCAGAAATGTGATGTGTGAGGCTTGCATGTTGGACCGTGTTGAGGATGTGCCCCCAGCTGTATGGGACTGTGCAGGGCCGGAGGTCCTGCTGTGAGAAGCGGCTGGCACGTGGCCTTCCTGTTTAACCCCAAAAGGCAATGGGAGAAATTGGTTTGGACTCTTAGTCCATTAATAATGGTGAAAAAGCAGGGGAAATCAGAAGGAATTCTGAAACATGAGTATGTCCTGTCCTGAAAAGTTTCTTCTCGGCCAAATCTCAGGTTAAAATTGGTTTGCTTGAAAACTTCCAAAAGAAACATATTGTTTAACAAAAGAGCATGTCTGAAAATTCAGGCAGATCTCTTCAGGCTTCTAGGACAGGGCTGAATGTTCCCATGTCAAACTTGTAATCAGCTTGTAAGCTTTTGTGAAAAGCTTATTACAATCTCAGCAAATAAAAGAAGTCCAAGAGCTCAGGAGTCTTGAGTAACGAGAAGAAAAATAATAAAAATATTTTTTTAAGTGCTGTGCTTGCATATGGTTTTCTTTGTTTCACTATGGTACAGGGAGGGGAAGAGGTGGTTTGAAGAAGATGATAGTGGGGGGGAAAGGTGAGAGGAGAAATTATGACTTTTAAGCTAGTAGCAAGGTTTGAAAGCTCTGAAGTGCAATATCTCAGTTTTAATAGTCTCTTCTCAGTAGCAAACAGTAAAAAGCATTCACTGGCAAATCATGGGGGAGGGAGGACCTGTGCCAAAAAAAGTCTTAATTTGCCCTCAGCTCTTCTGAAACAGTTTGAGCCTGTATGCTGAACTGCACAGTCCTACAGGGAGATGGGGTAAAGGAATGTAGGACAGATTCAGGAACATTTGAAACCTTCCAGCAGACCTTTACAGTTATTCCTGATGTGGTTTATGGAGAATTTCTAGTGCCTTTTCTTGAGGCTGTCCCTCTTGCATAATATATAGGATAAAGAAAGAAAATGCTGTGTGCATTCTTGTAGTAGATAACCCTGTAATTGCAGATTCCCCCCCGCAGGGTAAAGGAGAAATTCTTATGGGTAAATTAGCCAACTACAAACATATGGAGGCCTAAGAAGACATTTTTACATTTAAAGGAAAAGAAGGGATGTGATTTTGATTCTCTTTTTCTGGTCCCTGCTGCCTGAGGGCTCAAATTAGTGGTGCTTTAATTTATAAATACACAGTTCAGTTTGCTTATTACTCAATATTTTGCAGAAGTATTGAGCTGCAGTGTTTTAGAAGTATTTGTGTAGGACTGAGTCAAAGTCTTCTCAAAGAAACCTATGAGACTTGAGTATGTTGGATCGCACTGGGAGGTGGTTGGAAGTCCTTGTTCCCTTTGGCACAGCCTAGTAGTTATTTGGTCTGGTCTTTTTTTTTTTTTTTTTTTGG